GCCGAACGCCAGTGCCCCCAGGACCCTGCCCCCTCCCACTGTGTGCCCCTTACCTTCTCAACCTGGAGAAACATTTGAAGGGCCACAAGGAGTGTATTGCGGCACGGCTGAAACGGGAGATAAGGGCCCTTTAAAGGAGTGCTGCCATTGCCCTCCTTGCAGAGTTGAGGGCCACCAATCCAGATCCGCCAATGGTGAGCACCCTGGATCTGGCAGATGAGTTGGAGGACCCGGAGGAGGGGACATCTCTCTGCCAGAACAGGACATGTGTTCACGCTCGCCAGAGGGTCCGAGAATTAGATCTGGAGGTTCTGCAACACCGCAAGATCATTGGTGACCTCAACGTGAGTGAATGAAAAATACATAGCAAATATACATTCTATCCATACTCAGTTTCTTTATATAACTCAATCATTACATTGTCATTAATTTGCAGTCCTGTTTTCTCTTGCTGTTTGTTTCTTCCTCTGCAGAAGCAGTTGCAGGGACAGCCCGGGCCCCAGCCCCCTCCACTCCAGGTCGAGAGCTCTGATGATGACCAGCAGCCCCTGCCGCAGCAGTGGCAACAACAGGAGCCAGATGGCTCATCCTCGTCTGGCTCTCTCACCTCTTCCTCCTCTTCTTCCGAAGAGGAGAACCACCAGCAAGAGCCCCAGAGTGAGGTCCACCTGATTGTGTCCTCGGATGAGGAGCAGCCGCCGCAACAGCAGCAGCCCGAGCAACAGCAGCAGCCGCCACCGCTGTCACAACAGCAGCAGCCCGAGCAGCAGCAGCAGCAGCCCAAGCAGACGGAGCAGCCGCAGCAGAGGGTCAGCTGCGGCCAAAAAGAAGCTGCCTTTCAGCATGGCCTCCCCCGCTGTGGTGAGAAGATAATTGATTAGTGTAATACAGTGCCATAATCATTTTGCCCAAGGCCAAAGTATGTAACTTAAACATGTCTTCTTATTGTTTTTCTCTCTACCCAGGCAACCACGAGCGAGAAAAAGGCTGCCAGGGAGATAAAGAGTAAGAAGAGGCTGTCAGTTCAGCCACCTCAGAAGAAGAGATCAGTGTCTTTGTTATGCCCCACCCTTAGGCCTCCTGTGCCAGCAGCCTCTCTCCTCTGCTGCTGGCACAGGAGCTTTTAAGCACCTCCTCCATGCCATACCAAAAAGTGGACTGCAACAACCACAGAACAAAATGGTCACAATGTAGTCAACCACTACACAAATGTTGCCAACTTACACCTAAGCAGCAACCCACAAGTGACCCACCAAATGTGGAGTGCAGTGACCACCACCCTAACGGTCATAAACCACAA